GATTGAGTGTAGTAAGGAATGTACTGACGTGGCGTGGGGATGAAATATCCTATATCGGCCTCGTCCTTGTTGCAGTCGACTGTCGATCGGATAGGGTGCAGAGTCAGTAACTGCAATTGTAATTATCGCGAGTCAGCATCCCGTTTCAGTTCTGGGATAAAAAAAGTTGACTGTCGACCGACGCACCCTGCCAGTCCCTTTCTGTCTACATATCCTTTCGATAAAAGACTGTAATATGACATTATTTGCTTTTACATTTATTCGCAATGCTTCTAAGGTTTAAATAATAGTTTGTGGAGAAAATTCCCGCCACTCATGTCTTGGTCAAACGTCATCTTTAAAAGAATATTTTTAAATTTCAGATGGGACTTCACATCTTCAGGCCTCCGAAAAACAGACTTATTCCGCATTCGGTAAAATATGACTACAGCATGTGGGCTAAGTCGTGAAATGCCAACCGAAATTCCGAAATGCGTTTTCGTTTCGAAAAGATTAATTAAGTAGGGTTGTAAAACTAATCAGTCTGCAGTATAATTCTGTAATAATTCAGTTACCTCGGATGCTAGCTTTCGAACGAACTTCCTTCCCGCTGCATGCAAAAACTACCTCTGTAAAAATGGCTCCTCACCCAGCATACAGTTTTCTCATTGAGTTTAGATGTCCCTAAAAGTCCAATTATATTTCATTGAAAAATGGCATCAAGATATTCATTCTATTGCACATTCGGTAGAAAATTACGTCTTCTTCTAATCTTGTACTCGAAGGAGGGACATAATTCGGTTTTTCAAAACTTTTCCAATATCCGAATAATTTCGAACCCACTCTACCGTTAGACTTGGATTCAGGGTTTCAAATCTACAAGCCGTATATTTTCCGCGAACGGAAGACCAGACATCTCTCCACGGTAATAAAGAGGACCATATAGGGTTCATAAAGTTTGCAGTGGATTTGATCCATATTGTTAACTTTACAAGCCACATTGGTAAATGCAGAGACATGATGATTTATGAACGGCCATTACATGGCATTTAAAAGTCCCACAATTAGAAACTTTCTTAAAACCGAAGTATGTCTTTCTTTGGTGTATAAAATTAGAAGAAGACGTAATTATCTACCGAATGAGCAAAGTAATGAGTATTTTTATACATGTTTTCTATGAAATATAATAAAACGTTTAGGGGCATCGAAAATCAGTCATAAAAATTCATGCTTTTATGTTGCTCTGTTTTACAGAGTGTGGTTTTTGCATGCAGCAGGAAGGAAGTTCGTTCGAGAGCCACCATACTGAGGTAACGGAATTATTACAGAATTAAACTGCAGACTAATTAGTTTAACAAGCCTATTTAATTAATCCTTTCAAAACGGAAACGCATTTCGGAATTTCGGTCGATATTTCATGAGTTAGCCCACCTACTGTATATATATATATATATATATATATATATTGTGTGGCTGGGTATGGCTGGCTGACGACGGCTAATAAGCCAGAAATGGCCATTTCAGTCTCCCTTGTCTTTGTCGGTAATAGCATTCTGCCTATATATATATATATATATTATGACAGTGGGCGCTCGCCGATCAGGTTACGGAACATGCTCGTTCCGTTGTGCCTTGGGGCTCATACTTAAACCCTCGCAGGCAGTCGCACAGCGACTAGTAGTAGACATAGATGAGATGATACCGACAAAGACAAGGGAGACCGGAATGGCCATTTCTGGCTTATTAGCCGTCATCAGCCAGTCATACCCAACCCCAAGTGTGGATCACTTGAGATTCGAACCCGGGATCTTTGGTCATGGAGTTGAACGCTCTACCATTGAGCCACGGGCCCGTTGTCCTGTCGGTTGTGATCGGGAATATTAATTATGACAGTGGGCGCTCGCCGATCAGGTTACGGAACATGCTCGTTCCGTNAAGTGATCCACACTTGGGGTTGGGTATGACTGGCTGATGACGGCTAATAAGCCAGAAATGGCCATTCCGGTCTCCCTTGTCTTTGTCGGTATCATCTCATCTATGTCTACTACTAGTCGCTGTGCGACTGCCTGCGAGGGTTTAAGTATGAGCCCCAAGGCACAACGGAACGAGCATGTTCCGTAACCTGATCGGCGAGCGCCCACTGTCATAATTAATATTCCCGATCACAACCGACAGGACAACGGGCCCGTGGCTCAATGGTAGAGCGTTCAACTCCATGACCAAAGATCCCGGGTTCGAATCTCAAGTGATCCACACTTGGGGTTGGGTATGACTGGCTGATGACAGCTAATAAGCCAGAAATGGCCATTCCGGTCTCCCTTGTCTTTGTCGGTATCATCTCATATATATATATATATATATATATGAAATCGGAAGATATTCTGTTTATAGGGGGCTGCGCAAAGAAAATGCACGTTACTCATGCCTTGGTCAGACGTCATCTTTAAAGGAATATTTTACCATCTTCAGGCCTCCGAAAAACAGACTATTATTCCGTATTATTTTATGGTCTCAGTTTTGAGCCGGGACTCAGTCTTAGCCATGAAAGTGTTTACTTACAAATCATGGAATGTCGAAAAATTCCCAGTCGCGCTCAGTAACATAACTGAAATTAATCATTTTTATCTAGAAAAAATGAATAATTGTGCGGTCTGTCCATATTGTAAGGGAATTTCACCACTAAGACCGGTGGTAGGAGAAAGCAGGCAAAATTTAACGAGCATGTATCATGAACAGGCAAAATGTAGATTTATTTAAACAGCATAATGGAAATGTTGTTGTATACTTTTCAGTCCTTCCTTTGTTCGCCAGACAAAAGTTTTTGTAGTTTTTGGACTGCGTGGAGGGGGGGGGGAGTTCTATAAGTATTCTCTAACATGTCAGATGCTGCAAGACACGTGCATAGTGGTGGATACCTCGGAAACAGTGTTAACAACTTTGTGGATGTTAGTTTACTCAGGCAATTGTGAAAGTGTCCAGCAGAGTGGTGTAATAATAGACTTTTTTACAACCGAGGTATAAACTCCTTCCGTGTGCATACCGTTAGAGACCCGTAGTATCTTACGGACTATGCAAACCAAAGTACACTGGCGTATCTTCAGACTTTGCGCACATAGGAATTCGACGCACTACGCATAGTTCTAACGCATTTGTCAATTTAGTGTGTGAGATTCTTCGCACTGGGTTGGAAAGGCAGTCAACCGGAAATCGACATCGTACAGCGCTTAGATTATGTTGAAATGATCTCTACTGACTGGCAGTTTGTACTGACTGCACAGTGTCTATAACGGTTTAGATTAGAGATGGGCGTATGGTTTTGGATTTTTGATGTTCCATAAAGATCAGCAGAGAGTGAGTAGGCAAAGTGTGATTTATTAAAAACGATTGCCAAAATTACCAAATGAGTTAAGCTTTATCCACTGTTTCCTTCCATATACTAGAAAAATACTTCAATCCTGGCTGAAAGCATTCGGATGAAATATGAGGAAACGAAAATTGTGCTAGTAGAGGGACCTGATTGGGCGCGATTTGAAGGATCCAAATTGTTAATTAGATCATGGTAAGCATTACGTTGGCACAGAGTTCATGCGCTGACTTATATAGGTGCTGGGTTACTTGCTTCGGATTATGCTGGAATCGTAGATGGCGGAACGTTAACCATCAGATGTGGTTAGGTAGCCCGACATGAAGTAAACAAACCCCAGCCACCTGTAATACGGGGCCGGTGGTAATAGGGGGTTTTTACAGGTGGGGCCGGGGAACGCACAGGCGACGCGGTCAAGTAGTTGTATGCAAATGAAAAGCTATTGGGAATGCGTGGCTGTACTTTGAGTGGTTAAGACATAGTTTCTCTAGCCCCTTACGCTAACCCCTAAACACAACCCCTAACTCTAACCCCTAACCCCAACCCCACAGTATTTTGTCCATTAGGTGAGGCTACATAACCTGATCTTACCAAAAAAATCCTGCCTGTCGGCAAAAGTACAAAGTTCAGCTGGCGTGTTGCGGTTATGTCCATGCCTAGTTATTTATAACACACATGAGCTTAAACACTCTGATGTCCTCCATCTCCTACAACTGAATGGCGAGGGAGTATCATCGAGGAAAAGCTGCCTGACGGTATTATGCGGGATTGGTCTGCAATGTAACCGTACAAAGCAGTAAAAACGATGATTCGTCGCGTGAGGGCTGACTCACCTCCATCAGCTGATTCAGCCTTTTCTTGCTTGCATTAACGGCACTTACTACTCACTCATTTGTACTCGAGAATTTTCTGCGGTCGCGTCGTGGAGGTTTCTCATGGACTAAGAAATGTCAGTGTCTGTGCTGTGTGACCCGGTTAAGCTGCTTCACACTCGTCCAGTCCGTAGGATCGTGCCTTTTGATGCTGTATAAAAACTCCGAGATACTAGAGGGCGTATGGCTCACTTTGTTCAAGATTTTTTCGACTAGAAACCGCAAAGGCGATTGGCGGCCCGCCGGGGGGTTGGCAGAATCCTTGTGACAGCCCCGTAGGGCAGACTCTGTTAGATGTTCAAAAAATTTAGTTGCCGCCCATCCCGCAATCCATATGGTCAGATCCATTAACACGACTGTATGGGGCAAGAGTGTCGCGAGCACGGCCGGTTCAGCGTGTCCTGATAGGTGCACGGACGGTGACCAATTGATAGAGCTTTAAATCCAAGACGGTTTCTGACCCAGGTCAATATTTACAAATGAGTCCTAAACATGCACTCTGTTACCCGTTGTTCTTCTCAATTATGCTTATCGATTAGAGTTATTCTGCCTTAGAGAGTAACAATCGCTGGGACGTCGTGTGGCTAGTTGTTTCCTTGGGTGTTGAAAGTGGTTGTTGCCAATGACTAAGCAACTCGGCGCGACAGAGTTTATGAGCCTTTTTTCACTCGTCCAACCGCTTTGCACTTCCTGGTGACCAAGGCCTTGCTTTGGGCCTGCACTAAGCTTCCACACTTCGGCACCCCCATCTGAGCGACGCCAAAAAGTATAGATGTGGAGATACCTCAGATAGCGGTTAGAAGTTTGTAACAGAAGTATGCTGCTTGTATGTTGTCTTCATCGTCGTCTCCGCCTCCGCCGCCGCCGCCGCCGCCGCCGCCGCCGCCGCCACCACCACCACCACCACCACCACCACCACCGACAGTTCGAACATCATTGCCGACCATGTCCACCGTGTGCTCCAGAGCAAGATGAAGTTGACACGGTGACTTGCGCAACATCTAACGCACTGCCTCCTCCTCCACCTGGGCCTGGCGTCAAGACCTAGTTAAGAAGCCCGGGGGCGGGTGAGGGCGCAGGTGGCTGGCACGGCCGGACCCGCGCCTAGGCGTTCCACCACACTCCCTGGTCCACAACAAACGCTTGACCAGGATCTTAACCAACAACAGAGACACCACAACGGACCAGAAAGAGGAGGATGACTGGGCAATCATGCACGCAATCCGTATACACAGCGGATTCGCAAGCGCATCGACCGGCAGGAAACCAGCTATCAGTGCAAATCAGGCTGCGAGTGCCAAGGTTTACTGAATCTTGGAATAACAGACGCATACAATCCCTAAGGTAACCAGCGCTACTGCAATCATTACCTGTCTCAAGGCCCACGAGCGAACGGCTGTGGTGTCAACAGAAATACTTTATACAGCGCAGTCCTCCGACACGTCGGATTCCAGCATAAAAGTGCAGTTTTGTTCTGGTCACTCAAAGTCCTTGCGACGCCTAGATAACTAGAGTGTGGGTTTGGTGGATTTTAGCAGGTCGCACTCTTATGTGGCGTGGGCCGTGGTCAGACAGACCTATGTCGGAGAAGTACTCAGTACTCACACCGTACTTGCATATTTAATGTCTGTGTTGCAGTCTGTATCGCCTTCTGACACTTGCCGCACAGTTCTTTATTCATTACAAATGAACCAGCTGCCATTCACCAGATGGTGTTTATCATCGACCCCCCCCCCCGGCAAACGCACCAGTGATTGGTGCTGATTGCTTGGCTAGAGAAGTCTGCAGCCAAGTCTTGACTACCATGGTTCACTGCTGCAAACACCCACTACCGCCCAAGATAATCGCACGGTTAACCGTTATTCAGTAGACCAGCTAGTTGGCAGGATCGGACAGTCGCCTGATCCTCAGAGTTCTGAGGAAAGTAGACGTGCTTTTATCTGTCATGGCCGAGAAACCTGCCACCTGATGGAATGACTCGGCTCCAAGAGGATCATGGTGAAGTACGTGGAGAACTGAGGCTCAGATTGTTAGGGCCCCTTCAAAATATGGCCACGATGGTACTCCCGCGTAGTCGCCCTTTTGAAGCCGTGCGGGGACCCGCTCGTGTGTGAAGCAGGCCAGTGCATATTTGCAAACCTCCGGTCTTGCCATCGGATCAAGGTGTGTGAGGTAGGACAGAGTATGTTAAATGCTGCGTGCCTGTTTACGCCATTATTTACTTATTTATGCGCCGTTCTACGCCCACGCCGCGGGGCATACGGCAGACTTTATCATTTGCGACGCTCGAACTGTTAGCTCGTTGGTTCTAAGTTGGAGTTGCTGACAGAAGACTTGATTCGCTCAGTCAACAGTAGCCAGATCTGGATCGTCTACTGTCGATCATGGACCCTGTTCGGACTGCCCTTCCGTACTCTTGCAAATTTCCGAAAACGAAATATGACTCCACTACGACAGCTACATAATAAGGCAAGGTTAACAGGCTACTGCGTCTTCTCGCTCAAAGGTTGAGTCTGTGGCGGTCAAGAATTTGAGATCAACTTAAACCACGCACTATAAGTTCGTTTCGTCTAATGTACACAGGGCAGGTTGCCGCAAGTTGGCTGTTTGCTTGCAACAGCAATAAGCGTCCGTTCGCGGAGAGCGTCAGTCGCGGTGTGTAGTTTATGCGGGGGTGAATATCTATGTCAGTTGGTGGGGCTAACTGGTGAGGGCAGCTGAGAGTCACTACAGCTGCACAGGAGGGGTCTCAGTTCTAGCCGGCAGGGGTGGTCGTGTGACAACGGCCTGTCAACGATTGTAGCGGCCCTCGACCGACAAAACGGAGCCGGAAAAAAGGGGGACTGGAGCGGTTGTTACACGTCAAAGTGACGAAATACTGTACAATGTCATTAAGGATACGCCTTGATGGACTTAATTTTCTTTCTGCAGCACTGACGGCGACGCAACACAGTCTAAAATGGTTGCATACATGCCGAATCTATGCCCTTTGACTTTGATGTTTGCTGTCACCAGCAAACAGAAGATCACTTTTTTCCCGTATCTCGACTGTACACACTTAACTGAAATGTCTTTCGCACTATTAGCAACTGGATGTGAGATGCGGTATTTAAGAATGCCCAGGGTAGTTAGGATACTATTTCTATAATTTTCTCACTTTGGGAAGCATAATCTCCGCTTCTGCATCTTAATGATGGAAAAAATAAGGACACTACGAGGAAGCTAAACAATATCTCATATTGACCCAACTGTGAAAAACTCGGCGCCTCGGTGGGATTCGAACCCACACAGTAAGGGGACGGCTTTAGCGCAGCCAACGCTCTAACCACCTGAGCTACAAGGCCCCGCCGGGCGACGCGAGTTTAATCACATTTAATCACATTAAACTCGCGTCGTCCGGCGGGGCCTCGTAGCTCAGGTGGTTAGAGCGTTGGCTGCGCTAAAGCCTTCTCCTTACTGCGTGGGTTCGAATCCCACCGAGGCGCCGAGTTTTTCACAGTTGGGTCAATATGAGTTATTCAAAATCTGCCAAAATATCAATGAATTACGCGAGCCTGGTAGTCATCTGGTGGATTCTAGGTGAATTACTTAGGAAATCCTGCTTGGGCAGTCAACTTACTGTATCAGATTTGGTGGATTCCAGACGTTGCAGTAGGTTGAGCGGGTGATTTAACCCAAGTGTGATAAAACTCGCGTCGTCCGGCGGGGCCTCGTAGCTCAGGTGGTTAGAGCGTTGGCTGTACTAAAGCCTTCCCCCTTACTGCGTGGGTTCGAATCCCACCGAGGCGCCGAGTTTTTCACAGTTGGGTCAATATGAAGTATTCAAAATCTGCCAAAATATCAATGAAGAAACCATATCTGGTAATATGCTAGATCGCAACTGACAGGAAAATGCGCCCGTGGCCCAGTGGTTTGAGCACCGGACTTCCAACTAGTAGGTTGCGAGTTCGAGCCTCGGGGGTTGCATGCTTCGGGGTTGAGTGTGGCTGAGTGATGATGGCCAACAGGCGGGAAGTGGTTTTTACTGTCTTCCTGGTCTTCGTCGGTAATGCCATTCAGCCACATATGCTTCTGCTGGTTGGACCATAGTCAGAGCACAAACAGGACGCGTAAAGCGATCGGGCGCGCCACTCTACAACACTGAGCCTCTCAGCGCTTCTTATTCCCCCCGAACTTTCAAAGGTCTACCCATCTCTATCGTGTCCTTAGTTTCTGTTCCATCAAAGGCAAGCTGACCTTCTTTCCTTTTTATTTCACATAACTGTTCGCTCGTTGGAGAAAACGGGGAACCGCAAATGACTCCCCGACCCGAGTGGGATTTCGCTTCTCACTGGAGCTCAGAGCGCGCACACACACAGGGCAGTGTGTAGGGTGCGCGCCCCACCCGTAAAACCATGAAAATTCGTCAATAGACGAGGCCTGGGATGCGAGAGCGAGCTAGCGAAAGAGGGAGAGAGAGAGAGTAGTCGGTTGCATCGGCCGAACAGGAGAGAGAGAGAGAGGGGAGACTTTAAAATCCGATTCCAGCCAACGCAGTTGGCACGCTTCAATGCTGGTTTCATTCGTGACCCCTGTTCACAGCTCCGCTTTTTGTTATTCTCTGGACTTCTTTGCGTGTAGCGACTGATTGGCGACTTACAACTGCCCCATCCCTCTCCCTGTTAAAAGTCCAGTTGGCAGTAAGAGGGCAGCAGAATCATATCAGACGCTGCCAATTTTCGGCACGGTAGGTTGTAGAGAAAGTACAAAAGTTCGCGGAAAAAATAGATCGACGCGTTCAGGGGGGAGATGTGTGACCCGCTTGCTGCGAGCCACTAGTTTTCAGACTCATAAATGGTGTAGTTGCCTGAAAAGCGTGTAAATCGTCAAAATGCCCAACCCTGGAGGTACTGATCTTGTAAAAGTTCAGGGAACTTCTCTATTTGCTTGACCATCTGTGTAGTGCCGCACTGCTAAAATTTGGCCGCTCCATAAAAGTGTATATCTCCATGACCAGAGTAGCTCCAGTAACAAAGGAGGGGAATGCCAACAGAAGGCGGTCCCTTCAAGGTTACTTCAACCAATGGCCGTGAAGATACAGGCGGCTGGAAATTGTGTAGTTGCTACAAAAGCCATTGAGCCGGTCACCGCATGCGACAGGCGGAATAATGCTCCCAGCATTTATTACGGCCAATCCCCTTAAACTGAAGTTCGGCCAGAGATCCGGGAAGATGAGGCATACATGTCATCTTAGCTGCCAATTGTCCTAACCCCCCCCGCAGGTGAGGAGTGGTGAAGCAGCCTCCCGTTAGCATTCGCTTCGACATACACAGACTACAGTTTCTGAAAAATAGTCAGTCGGAAATCAAGCAGCAATCCCATAAGGGGACATCCGCCCACCGACACAGTACAGGAACCACAGATTAGCGCAGTGAAATACGCTGGAAGACGAATTAAATCCTAAACGACATATTTTGTGAGAAAACGGTTCCCCTGAAGAGCGTCCCGCTTCTTTGCTTCGGAGGCAAGGATAGGCTGCCCTTTCAGACTTCTTCAGTGTGCATTTTCGCCTTTGCTTGCTCCTTTGGAGCAGATGAGGCGCTTGATTTGGACACACCCGGTGATAACATTCATTTTGGACATAGAGAAAGTAGAATGCCTTACCTATCTGGATGTTTTGCTTAGTAAGACCATCTTGCGTTCGGGGGGGGCAGGTCGTGCGTGTGGCGCGCGTAGAAGGGCTCTCTAACTCTGTCAGCCACTGCGCCCACTCTCGCACCGGGCATCTGACCGGTTCGGATGGTAGACTGGTGCCAGGGGCCTGACAATAGAGAGTTAGATCGACGACATTCAGGGCATATTTCTCACCAGCAGTTTGACCGTCGATTTCGACGATGTCTATCGTGTGCTTCACAGCAAGGCTCAGCAGGAACGGTGAATTGCGCGTGAATTAGTTTGTAATGATCGTGGATTTGCGCAGCGTCTACCGCACTCTCTCTTCCCGACTCCTCATCTGAACCCT